TATATTAAATTTTTTGAAATCCCCAGTTAACTGGTTTTAAATCTCAAATTCCCAATACTTTTTGAACTGCTATACACATTTACCAACTAGTCACTTCCGATCGTCATGAAACAAATTTGATAATCTTACTTTCGTGCTCAATATTTTAATATAGATTGAAAGCAATAAAAGATAAATTGAATAATTTTTAATATTATTGGAATATTTCAAAAACTTATATTACTTTTACTTTTTTCTTACAGTTCTCATTGTCAACTCATTGATGTTTTTATGCGTGGTCCATACTCCTACACAAAACCGACTGTTAATGAAGGACGAAGCAAAATTTGCTGTTGCTTTCCAACAAATTAATTTGGTTAACTTGACTGCTAAATAAGATATGGAACCACATTTTCGAAAGTACTATAACAGTTCACTAGGAGTAATTACGATATGCAAAATATTAACAACTTCCAACAATTATAATAAGTATTAAAGAAACAAAGCTTTAAATATTTAGACATTCAAAATAATTTTAGAAATGGTTTTTAATTAGTTATAAATTAATGAAGAGATAGGAAATTATAAAATTAAAATTTTGAATATATGATTCCATTTTAATTTTAAATAAGACGTAAGGCGAATTGTGTATATATTGTAGACTAGAGTTTTAAATGTGTTAAACATTCTTATATCATATTCAAATACTATAACTTTATATCTAGGCTATAACTGTATTTAGACTTACAACTATCGAACCTTATTAGCACATTTTTGTATGGATTTGATATAAAAAGTAACTGGTATTACTACACATTTGTCGAGTTAATTGTGTAGTGTAAACGTATTGTTAAAAATGTTATCCCAAGACATTACCGGTAAATGGAATAATATATTTCATTATTGATTAATTTGTTTATAAGTAATTATAAATATGATGATTATTATATAAATATTATTGAATGATTATTACCTTAATATAATTTTAAACTACTTTAATTTTAGCTTATGCTTTTATGCCAGTTTTTAAAAAATTCCAATTATTTATGCACGAGTTTAATAAATATTATATAGATTTATATAAATATTAAACGTATATAATTTAATGTCATGACAAGAATGAACTGATGACTTTTATAACTTTAAAATTAAAAGAAATAATTATCATATTTTAAAAGATAATTATAGTTTATTCTAAAGAAATGTCAATGTTATTTAATATTATTGCTAATATCATTAGTATTAAATTATCTAGAAATGTTGTCAGTTCAAGTTTTTGTGATAGTAACAATAAAATTTATTAAGTGAATATCCATTATACACCCCAAATCCGTTATTATATCTAAAATATATTTCACTCTCTACCAAAACATTTCTTATATAAAATGGTTTGCTAAAATGGTTTGTAAAATAAACAAAGCTTATGTCTTTTAGTTATAGGAAACGATATAGTTTTTAAATACCTTATATACATTTGGTTTCAGTATATTTTTTAATACATTCCATTTAAAGTATTAATATAAAAGCGAATTATATAAAAATTATTAGAAAAATATTGAATAAAATTAACAATCATTTTTTTATAGTTAAATGCGGTAATTTCGTAAATTGTTAATGAAACTCCTACGAGTTTTTTATATCCAATAAACTATTGCAAATATTCGCCACAGATGTTTTTTTTTAAATGTACTAAATATATAATTATAGGTCTATTCCAGGAGCTACTCGTAGTAAAACTTAAGTAAAACACAAGTAAAGTACAAACTGATTACGTAAATCTTTACACAGATTTCCATGGAACAGCTTTGTGTAAAGTCTGGCGAGAACACTAGTGCCGCACAAATAAACAATACAAAAATTTAAATTCAAACCAAAACAGCTGATTCACACCTCAACATAAATTTTACTTGAAATAAAATGTAGGAGTAAAGTCTGTGTAATATTTTCAAATTTCGACAGTGATGTTACGCTCTCTCAGATGCTCTCATTTACTCGAAAATTTGCTCTCATTTACTCGCATTTGTGTATACACAGTGTTACTCAAAGTTACTACGAGTAGCTCGTGGTACAGACCTAATATAATAAATATTTTAATTTAAAATATGGTGCCAGATTTATCCATATAATATCAGAGATAACTAAATCATATACATGTCCAAATTAGTATAATACTTTTGGGCATAGAATTTTCTATTTTTTGTGCCTGAAACTGTTTAATAAAGAAAACTTGTTAATATTAGTTTTGTAAAAGAGAATACTCTCTTCTTTTGTACTGATGACAAACGATCGGTAGCAATGTATCCACATCTATTCTTCGGAAGTAGACGGCACTGTAGAAAACTACAAGGATTTTTCATTCATAGGAAATATACGTTGAAGTATTTTGTAAACGTGGTATAACGTACATGGAGAAATCGCTTGAAATTTTTAAGATTATATATTTTTCACATATATAATAATCAAAATATGTTTTTCGTACTCATTCAAAGTGTTGTAACTATTGATAGACGATAGTCTAATTACTATCGATAGTCAAGACCTTTATTTTGCAACAATTATGTTGCTATTATACATTCTTAGTGCAATATATATATAATACAATATAGTTTTCTTCACTGATTTTAATTACCAAATTAAAAAAATTAGCAACAAAATTTTCACGCTCCGAGTTGATATATGCGAGAGAAAACTCATTCTTGCAAGAGCTTTATAATAATTACATGCTTCCTCTTGTCATTTATTTGATTTAGTTATCTTTAATAAAACATCTTTTCTTATTTTATATACTATAATAAATGATTTTAATGAATCACATTTTATTTTTTAATTTTAGAATTTTATATGAAATAAATTTATAAAATACTAAATAAAAAGTTTTTAAATAAAATTTAAGCTGTTTTTAATTTTTGTCTAAATTAAAAACTATCAAGAATTATAGTATACTATTATTCTTGAAAGCTACAACTGTACTTTTAAACAAATATAAAGAGTAGGTGTATAAGAAAAGTGGATTCGTATGGGATAGGTTCAAGTTGTAGTTCCTAGTTTAAGTCTTCAGGTCATTAAAAGATCAAATAAGCAGCACCAACGGAACAAAATTTACTTTTGGGTCAATTTAAAATTGACTGGATTTAATCAAAACATATTACTAAGAGATTGTGGCTGAAGACAGAAGACGGAACGCTTTTAAAAACAGATGTCGATTAAATAAATAAAATCACTATTTTTATATTTCATGATCCGATTTCATTAGTTGTTTATATTGAGGCGATAAATTGAAGGTGAGCTGAATAGAGTGAAAAACACGAGAAGTTTTTATATTCAGCTCAGAAAAAATACCACAACACTAGCTGTTCTTAAACTCATTCCATAAACTAAGCATAGGAACAGAAAGTGATAGTAGGAGATGGTAGGATATTTAAATCTATCGAAATGTATAGTTTTCAGTAGGGTATAGTATGTAATGTATAATTGGAAATAAATAGTACATACTTTTGATAGATTTTAATATTGGGTTAGAGTCTAGAGTTTGAACATTTGTTAAGCGAAATAAATTATAGAAGTAAAAACGAGAGAAATTTTTCTTTGACCCATGCCACACTTAAGCAATTTTTTAAGGAGTAATTTTGGTGCAATAATTTTTATTGATTGCTACACTTGATGAATTCTGCAGTTTGAAGAGTTGTATATATCAACTCAGCTTGTTTATGTGTGGAAACATTTTAAGAAATAATTCAACATTTACTCAAACTATTTACAAATTAGATATAAATTTCTTGCTTTCGCTAAAATTAAATAGATAAAATAATTTAGTAATGAAATCGTAAAATAAAAAATTAAAAAAACTACACATGAAAAATATTGTGCATATATTATTATTATTGTTAGGGGATGTGGCACTACGACCGTCGGGTCTATTGTGCATCCTTTTGGGCTTAGAGCACGTCTTTAAGCACTGTTGCGTCAGTAAAAAGTAGTATACAACCCACTTTACAGAGTTTTATTGCCTCTTCCGTAAAAATATGCATTCCAAGGAGTCTATTTCGTATGTGCATTAGCGCGGGGCGTTCTAACAGCACAGCACAGTAGCCGATTCTTCATTCTCTTCACAGAATCTACAGTTTGCATCCGTAAATATGCTCAGTTTGTAAAGTGGTGTTTTAGTCTACAGTGCCCTGTTAGGATTCCTGTGATGATTCTAAGTTATTCTTTTGATAGGTTCATAGAATTCTGGTATCCCTTATTGTTATAGGTACCCATAAGTAATTTGAATTGTTTTAATCCTGGTATATCTCAGTAATCGTTTTTATTCTAGTTCTACTTTATTTTTATGAGAGAAAGGAGCGTACTATTTCCTAGTCCCAAAATGGCTGCTCCTTTCCTGGCTAGTTTGTCCGCGTATTCGTTTTCGCGTACGCCAGTATGTCCCGGTAGCTAAAGAATCGATAGGTGATTTGTTTCACCCAGCAGATTTAGCTTATCAAGGTAGTTTAGTCTTGAGGTCACTTGATGCGAGTTCAGTGCCTTGATCATCGCATGGCTGTGTGTCGGTATTGCAATATTTTGTGCATATATTGGTTTCATAACATTTTCAACAGCATCAAAGTATGAGTAAAATCAATTTACTGAACGCAATAAACTGTGCGAAAACTGTTATAAAAACTAATTTTAATTCTTAATTTTACCTGTGTTTACCTCAGGTGCACATAATTAAATTTATGTTTTGTTATTTTATCAGAAGTAATTTAAAACTTTTACTGACAAAATATATAATCCATAGTTTATTTAAAGCGAATATATAGTTTAAAGAGAACTAAGCATTCTGTTTCAAAAAATATTTTATTAGCACTTGCAAATACTCACCAGATGTAAAGTACTTAAAAATAAAACAAATAAAATGGAGCAGCAAAAAGGGTTGAGAATTGAAAATATTATTCTTATTATTAAATTGAATAAGAAACTTTTTATAAAAAAGAGTAGCATGGTAACTCTGCCAACTGTCACTGCAAGTAGCGAACAGAGCTAATGTGTTAACGTCAAACTCTATTTGTGTCTTGTCATTTTTTAATTTTCCTTCGTCATTTGCGTGAAGTACGCTGAATTAAATAAACAATTTTTAAGAGTTCGAAATATAGTAAAAATGTTCAACGGTGGTAATAGTGCGTTTCCAACAGAATTTTGGCAGAATGGTCCATCACCAGGAAGTTTTTATAATTTCACTAGTGGTGGAGTTGCACAAACAATGCCGGCAGACATTGGTAAACAGCATTCATTGTGAGTACAAAATTGAAATTAAACTTTTAAAATATCTAATTTTATACTTTATATAAAAAAATATTAACAGCACACCAGCTACAACTGGCACATCGGTAGTCGGTATTAAATATGAAAATGGTGTACTTATTGCTGCAGATACACTGGTTTCATATGGCAATTTGGCACGTTTCACAGACGTCGAACGTGTCTTCAAAGTAAATGATTTTACCATTATTGGCACTGGTGGTGATTATGCCGATTTTCAAAATCTCCAACAAAGTATAAATCAAAAAGTTGTTGAGGATATGTGCAGCGGTGACAAATTGCAAATGAAACCAAAATCATTGTATAATTGGCTAACACGAGTTTTGTACAATCGTCGCAGTCGTATGAATCCTTTATTCCTTAATATGGTTGTCGGCGGAATGGAAAATGGTAAACCATTTCTAGGTCACATCGACTTACGTGGTAGTGCTTACGAATCTGAGGTTATTGCAACTGGATTTGGACAACACTTAGCATTACCACTCATACGCGAAGCTCTGCAACCTGGTAAACCTATTTCAGAACAACAAGCTTTCGAATTGGTAAGATGTGACGTTTAATTTTTTTTAATTTTATTTCTTATTATTAAATTCTTTACAGTTGCATAAAGTAATGGAGGTGTTGTATTATCGTGACTGCCGTGCACATCCAAAATATACTGTTGCTGTTTGTACAGAGGCCGGTACTGAAATTAAGGGACCATTCCGTGTTGATGAGAATTGGGCTCTTGCCTCTCTAATTGAAGGTTATTAGTTAGCGTCGTTGCTTATTAATTTTATAAAAACTAAATTTTAATAAAAATATAAGATAGCTTTCACAATAAAATACCATGGAAAATGGAGCATTGAAATTTCTATTTAATTCAACTTTATGTCTGTTAGAACTTTTTTAATTAAGAATTCGTTCTATAATTGTCATCCGACTTAAAGTCTTACCAATTTGAAGAAACAGCAGAAAATATATTTGGAATAAAATGTTAGAGCAATGCTGTTCGTAAAATTATGTAAACCGATCCAATTTCAAATTCGTTCTCTTGTGTGCAGTGGAGAAATTGATGGAATACATTTTTTATACTTTATTCTATTATACTTTTTATTTTATTTTTTAAAATAAAGTTTTTTATTAATTAGTTGCCCCAGTTAGCATATACTTTAATTGAATTGCGTTAAAATTCCTTTTCAATGTCTTAGAACATAACGTTTCAAGAAATATTAGCGAAAGTCTATTTAGAATGGCAATGTAAACGTTATTTCATAAAAGAAATTTCATTATTATGAACGGCTGTAAGTCATCTTATCTGATAGACACTGGGACCACTAAACTGATTGTAGAATTTATCAATGTAGTCGCGATACAAATGCAAGCATCGATGAATGCAGTCTGTTGATATATGTATTGTGATAAGGTGGATTATAATAAATTGGTTTTGCTACTGCAATTGTACTTCCAATTGTTGATCTTCGATCAGACTTTTTACTATACACGGACATTTGATCTCAAATAAATCGGTTACATCTTGTCAAAGTAACATTTTCAATGTGAGGGATTGTAGCAACATATTATGTCCATGTTGAATGTAGTTCCTCCATTGCAAAATTGATCGGTGCAATCTAGGTACTAATACACGGATAGACGAATTTAATTGACTGTTGGGTTTGGTTTCAATAGCCAGTTTGGAGAGAAAACAATTTGTTTGTCAGCATTCCTTGAGAATTTGATTTTTGGTCAGAGCTCTTATTGTAAGTTGCAGATATGGCTTCTTTTGTGTAAAGAACATATCAAAAAAGCATCAGTTAGTATATTGGGACGGGATTTGAACAAAAAAGTTTTTGTTCAGCTTAATGTCTACTATATCTATATTGTGAGATGTTGGAACAGTGCGCCGTCCATCATGTGGCCACACTGAAGTGAAGGATTAACTGAAGTAGACCAAGCAACATCGGATCATTTTTCGTCCTTCGATTCTTGGATATCGTCACTGAGTTAAAGCCAAAATGATTTCCGTTCGCATAACTGCATCTCTTGCTAGTGCAAGCATTTCATATAGCTTGAGGTTGGCTTTCAAGTGATCAGTATGCGAAATGAAGCTATCCACTTATCGACATCGACCACTTTCAACATCCTTCCATTATATTTAGCGGCGTGGTATTTTCTAATGGAACCATTTTTCAATGTGATTTATTACTTCGATATCATTTGCAGACTGTTTACTTTTCATAATCCCCCATTTTATCATAAGCATTATCATACATTTAGCGGTATTTATTGTTACTCGTAATGTAATAATCAAGACAATTATAAAGCGCATTTTTAAAATAAAGAGTTTTAAACAGTAAATAACAGCTAATTGGTAACATATCTGTATATTCATAACATTTGTATATCCTCAAGCTTTGATAACGCATTTAGATTAATGCTTATATAATTTCGACATAGCTTTAACTCCGTCTGAATAATTTAACCCCACACCCCGACCCCCTTACTAATTAAGCTTTACAAAAAAACGTTTTGACCAATAATTCCAAAAAAAAAATCCTTAGGCAGGTATGGGTTAATCACGCTACGCAACTATAACGTCACTCATTAAAAAACAAGCGAATTGGCAGCACTGTTTACAAATGTTAAAAAGTCCGCCGTTAAAGTTTAAATGTCATCAAGTCCACAATGGTAAAGTTTAAATGGCGGCTCACTGTCGCAGATATAAACCTTTACCGATTTTTAAAGCTTTAATAATTTCATGGTTTAATATAACAGTTGAAGACAATGTTTAGGAAATAGAAAAAATTATACATTTGGTGTATAAATAATTTATTGTTAAATAATTAAAGTTGGAAAAAATTCGATGAGATCCTCAAACATATATTGCTATTTTAAATTTTGTTCGAATTGGTTAAATAAAAACGGCTACAACAACAAAGATGACATACATACATGTTTCTATACTAGTTAAGTTTTTAATTGGAATTAACAAGTTGCACAAATAATTTTTGTTCAAAATATAAATAAATAAATTTGCAAATATAATATAGAATATAAACCAATTATACCCGTGTTATGTATACATATATATAGATTATTTTCTTAATTTGGATTTGCTTAGTTTAACATTGTACGCCGATCGTAAATATGGCGACGTTGCTCACGCACTTGACGTTTCCATTTGTCCTGCTGGTGACCTACACGATTCAAGACATTTGCACGTGAATTTAACTCCTGATTTCTTGAGCTGGGCATTGGCGGTGTAGTGGAGGTTGTATCATCCTAGTTTTAAAAAGAAATATAGAATTTTTTGTTAAAAACATTACGAATGCCAAAAATAATTTTTTAAGCTAAAAAAAGTATCCAAAAAAAAAAATTTCAGTGATGTGTGCAACAAGTTAACAAACAAAAAAAAAAAAACAGCAAAAATGCACGTTAAAACGAAAGATGTGTCCCTTTGTGCTGTTGTCGTACAAAAGCACAAAGTTCAGGTTAGTAAACAAAATCAATACATTAAGTGTAATATGGGAACAATAACTTAAAAAAAAACATATAATAAAATATTAATCAGAGTCTTTATTGGAATTCACTAAAAGACTATATTGTACGCTTGGATATTTGATATGTACATCTTCATTGGTATGCTCCTGATAGTTCGCCTTCACACGTTTGTTCAGCAATGGATCCAGGCACATCAGGAACAGCATATAGATTACCAATATGGAAATGATCCATATAACAATTATAACAACGACCTGTAATGGAATTGGAGGAAACCAGGTTAGTGTTATTAGAATTATGCATATAAATATTATATTTATTGTTAATTAAATAAATAATATATAAAATAAGCATTTTATATTATAAAATAAAAAAAGTTAAGAATTTGTATTAAAGTAATTAAATCACACATAAAGCATGTTTTCTGTACTAAGTAGACTTATTTTATAATTAATATATGAGCATTTATGTTGCAAATAAATAAATAGCTTATGAAATTTCAACTATCAATAATTCATTCGCAAAGGATAGTCCACTTTTTCGCACTATTCATTAAAGATAATATTATATTTACATATGTACAAACAAACAAACTTCTTACTACACAAGACAACATTGTTGTTATTGCAGATATATATGTATTGTAATCTTATATTAACTTGTACTTAAATAGCATAGTTTTTATAATTACAGTAAAAATTTTCTTAAATCTCTTCTCTCATTTGTAAACGTTATTTTACAACAAATCTTTTTTTATTATTAATTGGAACAATTAAATCATTTTGATTGGATCCCTGTCCTCAAAACAAAAGAGGGGGATCCAACGAAAAAAAGGTGCGTGGCAATGAATTTCCGCTCGAAACAGTATTTACTGTATTTGTAACTTGTGAATGAACACTTTTTCTAATACTAAATTCTTTTTATTATTACATATTTCAAACAATTAAACCCTTTTGACTGGACTCTCATTTTGAACGAATGAAAGGTGCATGGGAATGAATTTTCGCTTGAAAGAGTTTTCAATGCAAGAACTAAATGTTGTCTTCGTTTGTTGATTTTCGCAAAAGAGAATAGTGACTTTCCCTTTAGACTTCATCAAATCAAACGAAAAATGGGATATAGAACATTTACGGAATGTGATATCACAAACACCACCATTAAGTACTACTTAAACATTTTTGAAGAATAAATAAGAACACATATTGAGCAATGATATTTGCAAATAAGAGTACATATAGTTGAAATAAATAAGGACATACAATGTAATAGTTAATAAGGATGAAAGCTCAAAATAATACATAAAAGTCGCCATTTGAAGAACTATGATAAATATAATAAAAAAAATACCTGAGCTTGAGAATAATTTTGCATTCAGGATTGTATTGACTGTATACGTAAAGAATTACCACGAATGAATATTTAGTTGTCCAAAAATAATTAAGATAGCGACAAATAATGAAAAGCAGTGAATGGAAAAAAAAAATTATACTATAGTTGAAGTTCTAGTATAAGATCGCTGCAAACGTCTTGTTTCTTTTATTATTTGTTTCATTTTCAAATTTTAAAAAATGAAACAAGTGAAAATATGATACTACATATCTCGATTTATGATCAATACATACGATCGATGATTCAAAAAAAAAAAAATTTGATTTAAAACATTCGTTAATCTGAATACAAAAAAAAACAAGACCAAAGCAGCTGCATATTGTGTCACCAACATACATCTGTTTTTGTCTTTTCTCTGGTATGTGCATTAAATAATAAGAAGTCATGTAGAACTTAACATGGTTACATCATCTCCAATAAAATGAAATTTCTCTAAAACACAATTGACTCAAATGCATAATGAATGAAGTGAAAGTCCAACTCAAAGGTTGTTAACAAATGATGATGAACGTAGAATAGGACCACTTACTTTCAAATATGAAAACTGTTAATATGAAAACTGGACTTTCTGCATGTTTAAAATAATTCAGATAATTCTCCTATATAAAAGTTACAATAATCCAAGTTATGTTTATTGCATATAATTGATGTCAGATATTACGTAGGAATACGTTAATTTCTTGTTTAATACATAACTGAGTTTTGCTTTTCATTAGTTAACTTTGATGATTGAGTATTAGTAAAATAAACCATAGTATTTTCTAAAATAGTACAGTAGTTAACATTTGATCCTGATGAGAGTAAAATGCATTACGTATATGCATATTGTAGGAGTTGCTTCTTTTTCATAGCCAACCTCTGTGAAAAAGATTTCACTACTCACTTTTAGGGCCAGCAGCTACTACGTCCTTTTCAAACAAGGATGATGAGCAATAGCTTCACTTCACGAAAACTTTTGGGGTGCCTAAAAGCATTTCTAAA